TTAGCTTTGTGTCAATCCATACTCACTTATGGCATTACTTCCTGGGGTGGAGCTTCTAAAACAATATTGCTCCCATTAGAACGTGCCCAGAGAGCAGTTTTAAAGGTAGCCACTTTCCGTCCATTCATGTTTCCTACACATCAACTTTACTTGGCATGTAATGTACTAACTGTCCGTCAGTTGTTTATCCTGAACATCGTATTAAAACAGCATACCGAACTTCCATTTAACTTAAAATCCATAGACAGGAGAAGAATGGACTTAGTTTGTGTAAACCCTCAAACCAAACACGCATTTGTGAACAAATTTTACATATTTTTAGCACCCTTTCTATATAACAAGCTCAACAAGTCACTAAAGGTATATAGTCTAAGTTATAAGAACTGTAATATAAGTGTAAGGGAATTTCTAAATAAATTAAATTACGAAGACACAGAGAAGTTGTTAGAAATTCTAAAATAGTTTGTATTAATTGTAGGTAACAATTAATTGTTATTTTGTTATTTAGTTATTTTTATTTATTATATAATATAGGTAGTTTAATTATTTAAATATCTAGTGTCCTACATTATTAAACCCATTGTGTAAGTGATGTCTGAAACACAGGTACTCAACCTAGTTCAGGCAGGTAGCTAATATTATAAACTTGACTTTTTTATTTTTCTTTTGTATATTCTACATTATTAAGCTACATAGTTTTAATTTTATCATAGTATGTTATTTTTGTTAGACTTATTGTTACTTTATTTAATTGTAATCATATTTATTCCTGTATGTAAACAAGTGTAATTGGAAATGAAATAAATATTTATTATTATTATTGTTTTTACACGCCGGCTATCTTCATGCATCCGTCGACCATTTTCGAGCCGTTTCTTCAGCGCCGCAGCTTCGCTTCTTCTTGCTGTTCCGGAGATGTGTCCCACGCCGCCGCCGCTCGCCGATTTCGCGTGCGCGTTGGTCTGCACCACTTTTATAGCCCCGTCCAGCAATGCAGCTACGACAAGCTAGCCACGAGTCTCACGCCGGCAAATGGAGCGTACATAATAGTTGTGCATAATATTTTTGATTAATCTTTATTGGTTTTTAATCTTTATTATATATCTAGGTAGATTGTATTACATATCAGCAATCTTTTCAGCTACAATGCTTCTATTCTACAAAAAAATGTCTTTGAACAAATTACTAAAACTGTAAAGAACAGGAATAGAAGCATTGAACATGTAGGCTCATCATCGGCATCTGGAGGTGATGATGACCTTGAAAACGTAGCGAAATTTTCTAATTTAGTTGATTTTATTACCTTATATTATTTAAGAAATTAAGATGTAAATGGTGATTGAAAATGATCAAATAATGATGCTTAAATAATTTTTTTCTTATTTCCTTATAAATTTGCAAATATAATAAAAATATAAAAATAAAAATAGGATAAAACTTAGCGGAATTTGGTGGTTTTTAAAAAGCAGATTTTTGTAAAATATAGTGCAATTTTGATAAGGTTTAGTGCATCTTTTTTCTTCATACGGCAACTCTGATTAGATTGGATGTTTTAGCCCCTCTACACGTTGGGCCAACGCGAAGGCCCACTATGATGGGCCAGCGTGTGGAGGGCGTATTTGCGTCGGATGGCTTATGGCACATGCGATGGTCTTGGGGATGGCAACGGTGTCGGTTTTTCCGCCACACATCAAATAAAAGGCAGTGGGCCAGCGATGGTAGTACGCATCTACACGTGGCCCATTCCACAGTTGTGCGCGCTCGATGGTTGCGTGTGGATGTTCGTGCTTTGTTTATTAATTAACGAATTAAAAATGACGAACATGTGGCCAATTATTGAAGTTATAAAATTTGAATCATAGAGCTACTAAAATCAGAGCATAAACCTACATGTTTTATTTTTTATCTATTTATTTTTAATAATTAATTAATAATTATTTATTAAATTATTAATAATTAATTATAATTATTTAATTATTTTTGTTTAAAGAAAACTAAATTGACTCAGGACATATTTAGTTCTATTGCGATGGATAGAAGATAACATCCACCATTTTCTACGGCATTTCTTTTTGATAACTCTATTCATGTGCACATTAAAAAAAGACAATAAAAATGACATGTTGTATAAATATATTGCCGCAGCGGCTAATTCTTCCACGTCCATCTCGCAAAACGTTTCGATCACAACTGAACTGAATGTCGCCATCGTGTAGATGCGTTTCAACCATCGCATGGCCATTTCGCTGGGCTAACGTTGGCCCATCGTGCAGTGGCGAAGCTAGAGCTCCAAGCTAGGGCAAGCCTAAGATATAAATTGATAAAAATATAGATTGTTGTTTTTAGCAGTTTTATAAAAATACACCACTCTTGATCTGTCTCCACGCTTTCGTTTCATATTCAGTGCTGTCAAGGACGTGTTTAACAAAGCACACAGAAGGCATACCACTGCTAGATAGATTGTATTACATATCAGCAATTGCATAGCTTCGATGGCTTTGAAGAAAGCCGTTTGGATTTGTTTAAGCGAAAGAAAAAAAATATTTACATCCAATACAATGCATGAACAAAAGTAAAACACGAACAAAGTACAACAAGTTATGTACAAAATTAAAAAAATTATTTACATTCTAATGGATAAGAGATAAGATAGATAAGTGGAATCGTCTCGCTTTTTTATGGAAAGATTTAATTACGTCCACGTAAAATGTTGGTGAACGTTTTAATTGTACCAATAACTGTTTTTAATTGTGATAATTGATAAGTCTGAAATACACTCTTAACCTTGTGTATTATCTCAACAAAGTTAAAAGATTTCCTCTCCGATTATCACTTTAACACACTTCAATTCATCACAAGGAACACTATTATCCTCCATTTTCATTAAAAATCTTTAAAAAAGCATAAATTTTGAACTCGTAATATTAAATCGCTTAAGATAAGCACACAGAGTAAATAAACATTGAAACGTGAAATTAACTTGCAAACGTATTGCCCGCGCGCCTCCGTTTTCAAAAAATTTATTCCCAAAAGCCTGGCTTTAAATCTGTGTACTAATTGCTATATATACAATCGTAGTTATATTTCATTATAGAATATTTTGCCATAGGTTAGAAAGAGAGCGATCGTCTTCTCGAAAGCCCCGTATAAAGCCCACGCGAGCGAGGGAGACAACTATTAGCTCTATTAAAACTCATTTTTTATGACAGCAGCAGTATCGCTAAGGCAATACGAGGTCATCGGTCGACATGTGTCGAACAGTGGAAAGCGCGGGAAATTTGAAATAGCTTGAAACATTTTACGAGTTATTTTATTAGTTGATATTATTGATTGATTCAGGTTTAATAACGCAAGCCCGGCTTTTCGGCTTTAATGGAAGCTTCGCCACTGCCATCGTGAAGAGGAGCTATTTCACATCGTATACAGAGAAGCCAATAGACAAATTGACGCCTTCTGTCGCATTCGCACACGAAAAAGATAGATTTATGCATACGTCTTGCATAGAAATGAGACAGAGCGGTGTGATTGTTTGTCCCTTTATCAGTGTCGGTTTTTTTGACAGTTCGTAGCGATCTAAGGAGTTTACAAGTTGGTTTAAGTGAGAAAAAAGTGTTACGTGAGCTTGTTGAATCTTGTTCATTTCAGTTCTTAGAACAATTAAAAACTTTGAAAATGGTTAGATGTAGTGTCTTAGGATGTAAAAGTGATAGTGAATGTAAGCTCACCGGTACATTTTATCTGGTATTACGTATAAAATTCAATTGTTATTTTAAATTTCGTTACAAAACTATATAAATATACGTTTAAAATTTATCTAAATATGTTTAAAAGTCATAAAGATTATTGTGTAACCTAAAACCGTAGACAGAGTATTTCTCTGGCTACCGCTGTCTACGTTATCGTCCTTTTTCACTCGAGACCACGCTAATCATTAGTCTATAGGTTTCTCTGTCTACGTTTCACATAGATTACTGAATATATAATAGATAATGTTTCAGTTGGGATTTGTCACAGCTCACCATATTTTCACCATACTTTCTGTATATATTACTCTACTCTATGCAGCTCACAGAGTACTTTTTATATGTGATCGGTATTCAGCACTCAGATGAAGTAAGGAGTTTTGGCGGGAACTTGGCCGACGACGGACTGTCGCTCCTGTTTTGTTGCTTGAATAATGGTTTGAAGTGGATTTTAAATTGTAAAAGTGATGTGATTTTGTGAATTAATTGTCCGCGCGTGTGAACTATTAGAGAAAACGACGAAACAAATGCTTTGATGTCGATATAAACCTCAAGTTATTTTGTTCGCTTAGGCGCCTTATGAACCTGAGAGGCAGTCGTCATGGTCGTCATCAACTGTCCGCTAGGTTGAGCTGTCGTCAAAATCTCCCAAGGGCTTCGCAATGTGACGCATCAGCATATTGCGAAGAAAAGAAAAAAACGCGGGAACTTGAAACTGTACTGATAAATCTATATGGATTGAAACTTATAAAGATTATAATATAAAGAAGACTTGGCTTTAGCCTTTGTGGTTTTTAAAAATATGAAGAATTAAAGAAAATAAGACTTGGCTTCGGCCTTTATGGACTTTGAAGAGATGGAAAAAAGAAAAATAAGAATTGGTTCCGACCTTTACACTTCAAAATGCTATATATTCAAATTAAAAAAAGACAAGGCTGTATGGTTTAGTTCCTTTGCCTGCTCTCTCGAGTGAATAATAAATATAACAACAACAGCAATATTTTTCAATAGATAAATAAAATGTAGAAGATTTCATTAGAAGTATAATTATCTCAATGTATAATTTGTTGTTCAGTTTCAGTCAGTTTCAGTGATCAATGAAAAAATAAAGGAAAGAAAGTTACTAGGTTTGTATTGAATAGATGATTGAGTGGAATTAACGCTGGAAAATCAATTTACTTTGTCATTTTCCTATATACGGGTAACTTTGTGTCAATAATATGGTTATGGAAGCATAAGCGAAAACAAATTACCGACATGGTTGTTTCACCGCAAAGTCCTGCTAGCGAAGCCCCAAGCGTGCAAGGGTCTAAAACTAATATGGCGTCTAAACAGAGCTCAGTAGCTGACACACGAGCAGAATTAGCGGAGCTGGTGAAAAGAAAGGCTGAAGTCGCCGTAAGTGACATTTCTTCTGCCAACAACTTGTCATACTATACATATAAAAGTAAACAGTTTGTGAACAATCATTGTTATTTTTTTAATATAGGAAACCTTGGCTAATTTAGAGCGCCAAATTTATGCATTTGAAGGATCATACTTGGAAGATACACAGTTATATGGTAACATCATTCGGGGATGGGATCGCTATCTTACAACAAACAAAAGTACTAACTCAAAGGCAGATAAACGTAATAGAAAATTTAAAGAAGCAGAAAGGCTATTTTCGAAATCATCTATAACTTCAATGGCAGTAAGTAGAATAAAAATATTCAAAATATTATGTATATTATTGACTTATGTGTTAGAGGTACAACTGTGTATTGTAGCTATAGATGGGCATTTTAATGATGAAGCGTATAATGTAACAAGAACTTTTCAATGTAAGTAATTTAACAAGTTAAAGGAGGATGGCCTTGACTATATTGACTACTTGACTATAGGAGCTGGACTTGACTTTTTTTTCATCTCCCAAAACAAACTTTAGATAAATTGGTTTGTTTTATGTTGTAAACACTATCACATTTAAAAATAATGTCTAAATTGTCACAATTTTTTGTAATAAAGTCAACAATATTTATAAGACTAAATTAACAAATATATTTAACTTTTTTTTATTGGCCATTTCATTACATTAAAATATAACATTGGTATGTCAAAATTACAATCAATACAAATGATATAAGGTTACATTAAATTATTATAAATTAAAATACTTCTACATTTACATTATTTTACATGTCAAGCAAGTCTGAAAATGAACATTTAATATATTCTTCTATATTATAGAAAGCGTGATTCAAAAAGTATGTTTTTGTCACTTGTCAAAACATGTTTAATGGAAGTCTTGTTATTTCTAAAGGCAATTTATTGTGCATTTTGATTTTTAATGAAAAACCTTGCTTGGATGCTTTATCCGACTGCGACTGGACATAGCCTAAAAATGTAGTTAGCAATAAATGAGGAAGGTAATTAGCGATCTCGTTTCCATTTATTTAGATTTCTCTAAAATAACTTTATTACCCATTAATAGAACATCTCTCAAAGGGCACCCTACATCTGTGTATCATACTCCTAGAGTTCGATGTCAAAAAGGGCCATCTGTTAAACTGTCTTGTGAAGTTGACCGTTTCGACGATAGATTATGACCGATAATTCAATAAAAACTATACCTACATATATTGCACTAGCTTGCATAGTATGTAGTGTAAAAAACAAGAATGGCGTAATTATTATCACACGTGAAGTCTTTCCTGAAAGATTTTAAGGCTTTTTTCTAGTTTGACCACTTCAATTCTAGCTGAAGAGAGTTAGTCGTTAGATACCTACTGTTTTTCAGTCTTCAATACTAAAGTTGCATATGTATTGTAAAATCGAGTAATGGTAGGTTACGGGAGGAAGTGAACTGTAATGGTAGAATTTAGGAGTACTTTAATGAAATAAGTAGGCTAGACAAAATTACTTTTAATTCATCATCCTCTCTTACAACTACAGCATCAAGGAATGCTGCAGGTGCTAGCGCCATCACATGTGCACAGCACCCAACTGTTCTTCTACCAACTAAACAATTACAGCAATACTCTATTATAGCTTCCAATCCAGACACATATATAATATTTTTAATTAGTATATAAACATAGTATACTTTTCTCAAAATTTGTTTGGATTTGATTTTGCCTCTTATAAGCGAATTATTTCCACTTCCTCTCAAACGATACTCTGTTACGTTTAATGTTTTCTCTGCTTATTTCAATTCAATACCCTCCCTGAAACCTGACATGTTCATTATAATAGGACCTTGCCTGTTAAATCTAATATGTTCCTAGGGAAAATAATATAACTTCACTATATTCTGGACGGGGGAATATAATAATAGTATTCGAATGAGGTGTAATACTAGTAAAATCAGACATTTGTCTATTCATATTCATACTACTTATAAAATCAGATAGGTTATTATTTAATCGAAATCTTTCTCTAATCACATTTATTATTTGCTCAGCATCATTCCTGTTTTTCGATTGAACACTGAATTTATTTAAAAGGCTTGCAGCTATGGAAAACATATGCATCATATGTGGAACAGTTTTATTACAAAATCTTGCTGGAATACTTTAAAGTCTTGTTTGAAGTACCCGTCAACAACTTCCACCACCCATCAGCATATGGTCACACAATGACTCCTGTTAGTTTGATCAGTGGTGAGCGATGCTCACCGTCAAGCAGCGATTCTGGCATATATTCTGTAGCTGCAAGCCTCTAACAAACTAATTGAATCTCTAAATCCCCTGTCTAGAATAAGAAGATTATTATTTTGAAAGTATTGTCTGAGAGGAGAGTTTTCATCTCTGAACAGAGACTTCATTATATCTGCATCAGTTGTTGTAGCTTTATATGGGCCAAAACAGTCTACAATGTAGCCATCAGGTGTCACCAGCAAAAATGTTTTTAACAAGTTTTTGTATTTATGTAAGGAATATGTGTCCTTTTGGAACATATAATTGGAACTTTCGTGTATAAAAATATGTCCCATCACATATAATTATCGCATTTTCATTATTTTGATTATAAATTGCATTTGGAATTGTTAAATTGTGTTGCAATAATTGCTCACGGGATATGTGTTTAATTCCCAGATTTCTAGGCACAAAATCTTGTACCAATAGATCTCTAACCTTATCCATTAATCTTTCTAATGTTCACCTTGGAACCATTAATAACTGAGATAACCGGTCATCTGATTCACCAGTTCTCATCTTCATTAGAGGAGCACCTAAACCTAAAATGCCTCTATTTGTTTCTATAAAACGTGACATATCATATAATAAAAGTTGAAATTGTTATTTATTCATTCCAAGTCAATAATGAAACAAATTCTCATCAATTCTTTCAACACTATCCATATTCGAGAAATCAAGAAACGTGTTGAAAATATTTATAAAAGAAAGAGCGTGTTCCACTTGTTCAGCCGTAAATGTTCTCAAACTATACGAGAATTAAACAACATATCCCTATCAGTACTAAATGTATGTTCTACACAAATACGAGCATTTACAGGCAACTAATATTTGTGTTTGCTAAGAGTTGTTGCTATTGGAGGGTCAGAAATTCTATGCAAATCTGTATTCTGGTTACCAGAAAAAACACAATGTGCTGCAGTGTTTGCCGCTTGTCTATACTGCAGCAAACTAATCACCCTAGGTACTTCGTCATCTTGCTGGTCGGTATTTGGAGGGCTTTGAGGTTCTTGGGGTTGAGGCTCTGGCTCCAGCTCGGGCTCTGTTTGCTGCACAATATTTTGCCTGCAAATTATGTGTTGCAGCTCTCTTAAGTCTCAGCCAACAGGGATGACAAACTTGGAAACATTCATATATCTGTATCTTAATATATATGTTTTGGCTCATTATTATTAAACCCGAGCAAATAGAAACATTTTTACGAAACAATATAAAATTGCAGTGATAAATTCACTATAACATTGATACCAAAACAAAACAAAAAAGTACCAAATAAAAAGGTAATTATTACCTGCCGTGGGGCAATTATATTTTGAAGCTCTACATGTATTGCTTGTTGCAACTGACATGGATTCTCTCTCACAATAAGGTCACCTTTACGATTCCTCAGAGAACTTCCACAACATATGCAAACATGCTTGTGCCCATGGGAAGATTAGGCACCAGATTCATTAGGTAACCCAGAGTTGACATGCTGTATTGCCAATTTCTGACAGGCATCACATATGTAATCTTCTTCAGTGATTTTAAATAAGAATTAGAGGTGTATTTCAATGTATGATTAATTAGAGTTGTATTATGATGATGTAATAAAATAAGTAGGTGTGTAAATACGTACTATTATTGAAGAATTCCACTCGCATATCTTAGAAATTACTCTGGTATCAAGCTCAAAAACGAGATTGCGGCGAAGTGTATCAATGCATATATTACAATTAACACAAAGCAATCGCACGCCTAGTTCTCTTTGTTGTGTAGTTTGCATGATGTCTCTCACAATTATCCATGATGTGAAATCGGTGTACCGAAATCAGTCCGTAAAATAATAACCGAGGTCAAAACAACAGAAGGAAATGATAATAATGGCGCGGATCGATGACCACAGATTAAACGATGACAAATGACGTTCCTTTCTACATATGTAATTGAACAAAACATTTAGCTTACTATGACCTACATAATTATTTTTATGACAACAATCCAGTACATAATAAATCAGCATAGTAGTTGATTTGATGTCTACATACTAATCCATCTTTCATGCGAAGTTGTGGCGGCGGTGTTGGGTTTTATGTTAGGAGTGGTATTCCAGTAGTTTCAGTCCGTACTTGTTCGCACCCTTCTTCGAATGGTGAAGTTGAACAAATGTCGGTATCACTTGTCATCAACTCAACTAAAATTTTAATAGACACAGCCTACAGACCGCAATGGGTAAATGTTGATACTTTCTTTGACGCTCTCACTGATTCATTAGCAACTTTTTCGTGTTATGACAAAGTAGTGTTATTGGGTGATTTTAATATAAATATTCGTAATGAAATTGATAAATTACATTATACTATGTTACAGGACCCACACATTTTACATCTCACAGCGAGATGTTAATAGACCTTGTCTGTACTGATGCTGATGTCAAGGGTATACAAATAAACCATGTGAATGATCTTGGAGCACATGAATTAAAGCCAAACCTCATTTAAAATATATAAATTATCAGAATCTATAAAAAAAATAATTTAATTCACTATGATAATATGATTGCCTCAGTAGATTGAAAAGTGTATTAACATAGATTGCGTCAATGAAATGGTATCATGGTTTACTTATTTGTTACTAAATATAATAAATAAATATTGTAAATATAATACTTATCCTCCTCAGTCCCAGAGTATATTTTTGGAATTTACCGTTTTTATTATCTTAATATATATAAATTACTTGTCACGTTGTTTGTCCACGATGGACTCCTAAACTAGTTAACCGATTTTAATCAAATTTGCACACGGTATGCAGTTTGGTCCAACTTGAGAGATAAGTTAGTTTTTTTGCCCATGAGTGACCCATTTTTTTTGTTGCGAATTTAAGGATTTTTAATAGGTCATGCCAAAGGGTCGTCGAAAAGGGCAGAACATCGTCTGCCTGGCAAGCTAGTAAAATATATATTTTTAGGTATGTTGTTATATCAGGAACGTAAATATTTTGTCTGAAAATCTTGAAAATCCATGTATCCAATAGGGTACATTGGGTTTCAATGATTCCAAAAGTACTCAAAACACCCTATATTTTCAATTTTTAATTTTTAATCGAAAATTCGGTTATTTTTCAGTATTACAAATATTTTTTTATAATTAAACTTACTGTATAAGTTACAATTCGTGATAGTCTTTATAGCGATTTATTCCACTCATCAGACACAAAATCACCTTACAAGTTGGGCATTGATGTCTTGCCTTAGTGGACTCACAACCTGGCAGTCTGCAGAGGTTTTGAGTGTTCAAAACAGTAGGTAAGTGATCTAGTTTTCTCGTTCTTACGAAATCAGATGGATGCTGTATTCGGCACGGTGTCATCATCAGCAGAAAGATCTTCTATTTTCTTTTAATTTTGCAGTAGAAAGTCAACTATCTCTTCCCGAAACCCAAGATAGTCCAGTATGTCTTTCTTTCTAGTACCTAGCATTTCATGCTCCGATTTATTCTTTCCAGGATGCTGCCAAAGCAAAATCATATAAATGGAAGATGAGTCTAATTGCCCACTTGCATGTTCTGGATGAAATCCTGTAGTAACTTATTCATTTTTCTATTCATCAACTTTTTCATTGTAGTGTTTCACTACATCTGGACGCTGTACCGGGATGTACCTGATTTGACATCATAACTGTTACGCCAAAATGTTCTCATCTCCTTTTATGACATATTCAGATTATGTCCAGTTTCAGCAAGATAGCTTTAGATTGTGTGGAAAGCTATTAGCTCATAGAAGCCACTGGGTATATACTTGGTCACATACTCGTTTGGTGGTAAATTTATGGCCACTCGATCAATTTCCTCAAAGGTAGGTGTTGGTGGCAATGGCTCAAAAACATTTGTGGTTTTCCAGAACAGGCGAAGAGGTTGAAAAAATCTAGTAGTGATTTTGGGAAGATTGGCTATAATTTTGGGTAGAAGCCTCACCGATATCTTCACTGCGTTTATCTTCATCTGAGCTGTCATACTTTTCGTCTTTATTACCTTCAGCTTCAGGATTGAATGTTGGATCATCATCAGAATCCTCATTACCCACATCAATATCTAAATCAGAATCATCCCCGTTGATGGCATCAATTGATGCTCTCTCTAACGAAGATTCTGTAATACAAGCAAATAAATATAAAAATAACTAAAAATAGGAATGTGGAGAGTGGAACCCAAAAAATATGGAGACAACCAGGTTTACCTACGTATGAGAAAAAATTGGCACATTCGAACCAAAAGAATTGTATACAAAACTGCTTCAAAACATAAAATAAATTATAATTTTCATGAGTCAATTCAAATAAAGAAGAAATCTTCAACTTACCTTGATTAGGATCACCTATTTAAAAAAAAAAATTAGGGAGCTCATTTTTAAACACTTGCAGAAAAAAGGGTGCATTCAATTGACTGCAGATTGATTTGAGCGGTACTGCTATCTATCGAAAAATGTTAAAAGCTCTAACATGCTGTCACTGCCAACGTCTTTTAACGTAGTTTTCAGAATTTCCGCATGATGGCGTAATGTCACCATATGGAGACGTTTGGAGCGAGGAGGTTATATAAACAAATTATAGTAATAGAACTAAGAATAGGGAAGGAAACTAGCCCCTGAAATACAGGTATTATATCCTAGTTTAGGGGCTAATAACCACTGTAAATTTTGTGCATGTAATATGTTTATCAATAAAGATTATTATTATTATATTTAACATCTATGCACCTGAAAAGTCTATAGCAGTACGTGATCGAAATTCACCGTGGTTAACTAGCAATGTTCGGTACATCATGAAACTTCGGAATGAAAGCTATGCATAGTTTAAGAAAAGTAATTTGGAAAGCGATAAAATTCAATATAAATAGTAGAAACATTTGTCAAACATTAGTATATACTAGGAGAAAAAAGCATATTTTAATAGTCAAATTTATAATAACTTAAACCATTCCAAATTATTGTGGAAGAACTTGAAACGGTCCGTCTTTCCCAACAATAAGCAATCGACAGCACTTCCTGTGTTATTCGACAACCCAAATATAATCAATAACCATTTTCTTAATGTTCCCGGGAATAATAATTTAACCATATCTGTTTTAACTGAATATGAGTTTCATAGATATGCAATGAATGCAATGGTGCAATGAATTTAAACTTCATAATGTAAGTGAAGAATATATTGCAAAGATTATTTTATCAGTAAAATCAAATGCTCACGGTATTGATAAATTGAGTAGAGATATGATCATCTTAACACTTCCGGCTACTTTAAAAGTGATTGTAGCAATCGTAAATAAGTCAATTGAATCATCTACTTTTCCTTCTTTGTGGAAAATAGCTCTCGTACGTCCTTTACCTAAAAACAATGATCCTAAGGATCTCCGAGACTTAAGACCAATAAGTATACTGCCGTTTCTTTCTAAAATTTTAGAAAAAATTATATATAGTCAAGTCATCAAGTTTTGTGATACTAACAATATTTTACCTGACTTACAGTCGGGTTTTAGAAAAGGTAGAAGCACGTCTACTGCTTTACTTACGTAGTTGACAACATTCTTACATCACAAGACTCTGGTAGAGTTAAGATCCTTACCCTGCTTGATTTTTCAAGAGCATTTGTGGTATCATTTTATGGTTTCGTAACATCTTCCATAAAATGGTTTCAAAGTTACTTATGCAGTCATTCACAACAAGTAATATTAAATCAACCAAATGGGTCTTCCCTTGTTTTTGAACAACAACCACTTAATAGAGGCATCCCACAGGGTTCTATCTTAGAACTGTTGTTATTTATAATTTACACTGCTGATATAACTAATTACATGCATTTATGCAAATACCACCTTTATGCTGACCACCTACAGGTGTATCTTTCCTGCAATTTGCTTGAATTTCATTCTACAATTAGTAACATCAATGAAGACCTGAATCGAATTGCAATATGTTCACAAAAAAATTCCCTCATTCTAAACCCACTAAAGACTAAGTATATGTTTTTAGGATCGAAAAACCATATAATTTTTTTAGAGAATCAAAACCCTAAAATCATGTTGTTAAACGTCCCTCTGGAGCGTGTAAGTGAAGCTCGTAACCTTAGTTATGGATGGCAGACTGCATTTGATGACTGAAAAACACTTACTTGACCTTGTCCGCAACTGCTTTTATAGGCTAAAGGTTTTATACAGAATCCGCGAATATATTCAGCTGGATTTAAGAATTAGACTGTGTGAATCACACAGTGTATACGGTGTATGGACCCTGTATTGGAAAAGTCACAACGTCTAATTCAACATATACAAAATGCATGTGCACAATGCTGCTTCTCAATACCGAAACGGTCTCATGTAACACCTTTTTTCAATGAAGCAGGTATTTTAAAAATGAAAGCGCGGCAGAAACTTCACCTAGCTAATGTACTGTTTGATGTTACCAAAACTAAGTCGTCACTATATTTATATAGTAAATTTATATGGAGAAATCGACAAAACATCACGTCTTGTACGAACCCACTTGCCAATCCCACGTACTGTTCTGCAGCTTTCAGAGGTAGTTTTAAATATATAGCTACTAGGTGCTGGAACGACATTCCTCCGCCTATTCGGGAGTTTAATTCAAAGTATAATTTTAAATCACACAACAAAAATCATTTATCAGCTCAAAAGCTCTTTAAAAGCTCAACCTTGAGCCTTCAGCAGATGTTTATTCCAGCATCGTGGAGCATTATATGTTTGCTTTTAGTGTGTATTTACCAAGAAATATATATTAAAGAATGTATGTATTTTAAAATTTTTACTTTTTCATTTTTATATAAAATGTATGTGTATAATATGTCTTGTACGTATGTGTGTATATCTCTAATGTACTTATATTATATATATATATATATATATATATATATATATATATATATATATATATGACTAAGTATATATAGGTATATTTATGAGCAATCTTTAATTTTAATTTATAAAAGTAATTATGGAAATGTATTTCATAAAATATACCCAGGCGGATCGTGCGTGTATCTGTGGTAATGACAGAATCATCAGCACTGTAGGTTACCCTGCAGCATTACGCTGAGTCATAATCTTTTCACTGGCTTGATACACACCCCATCACTCGTAATATTAATCTACTAACTTTTAACGGTTTATTATTTTATTTTTGTGATGTGTACAGTTCCAGTGAATAAAGGTCTTTCTTTCTTTCTTTCTAATTAAATTTAATTAAAATTAATATCTATTCAGAAAAAAGTGAATAATTATAGTCTTTGAATACTAAGTCCTTTCATACACAAAATGAGTCGTCATTAGGTGCTTTCTGGAACTATTATTTGAAATAATTTTGAACAGTTACAAAAACAGAAATAAAGGGATAACTTTTTTTTGTGGCTACTTAGAGAGGTATTTCTTGTGTGTTTTAAGACCTTAAACAATAAGGGTATTTTACATAAATATTTGGTATTGGGATGTTATCGTTTCGTCGTCTGGTATGATTTGGCCATCCTCCTTTAAAAAGTAGTTAACATTAATTGCTTTTTCCTTAATTAAACAGGTTTGCCTGCATTTTGATTAATTTTCAAAACTTCAAATATAATAATTAAAAAATCAAAATTTAGACAATTCTAAGCCTGTGTTAGTATGATGAAGGAATATTTGTTGAATATATAATGAAGTGAGGTAAACTAAGGGACTAACAGCACAAAACATTATTAAATGTAGTTAATACAAGTCATTAAGCTAACAGTAAATTATGTAATAACGAAATTTTCAATTTCAGTTGTAAAATGATAAAATAATTATGATCAATTAAGGTAATAGGCAGGTATCTTACAAAAAAAACTTAAGCATGTAAGTTTGCTGTCCATTTTAAGCCATTATTCACATCTTTAATCGTGTCTGACTGCCTAACTGGTCTATTGGTTGTAAACACAAATGATTATCATAAGGTCGCAGTTTGAATCCTAGGTCAGGCCAAAATCCAATATTGGGTTTATCTGTTAAGAAATTCTGAGTAGCAGCCCGAAGTCAGGATATTGACGGTGTTTCATCCCCATGCCTTATAAAGCACATAGAGCTGTTGGTCCTGCTTCTGATTTGACTCCTGGTTGGTCTACTTGGGCACTATAACTGTACTAATGGCTCTTCATTGAGACTTATAGTTGAGGTGATACTGGCGTAAAATAGCAGCTCAGTGAGTAGAAAACCGGAGATCCTTTTTACTGGAAAAGAGGCATTCCAAAGTCCTCAGGTGTGACAATGCATCTGAATTTTGATTCTCAATTGAGGATAAATGTCGTTGTCTATGGGCCATAGCATCTACTTACCATGAGGTGGAATGTGTGCTTATCAATCACTTAATTCTATTAAAAAAGACTGGCCGCCATGACTGAAATCCAGTCTAGAGGACATTATTATTATTATTGTGGCTGTAGCACAAATGGTTTAATACAACTGAGGAAAGACCACACACATACAATGCCAGTGTATAGTAACAGCATAATGCTTTTTACTGTTTCATGTGTGGTGAGAATCAGAGGCTAACTGGTTAATGGGCATTCCATCTTAGCACTGAATGCATCTGAATTTTGTTATTACAATAAACTTCTTACATTATACTATAGGTATATTATGGTCCTGCATTTGTATCCTGGGTCGGGCTAAAATTATTTATGGATGTTTAGCCAATTAAAAAAAAGGATCCAGATCCCAATTTTAACATGTAGCTCTGATGGTTACTGATAGCCACTCTCCATTAACAATGGTGTGTAGCAGGCCTTTTAGAAAAAGATAAGCACATTTTTAAGTCTGGAAAAAATGGCCGGTGGTAAACAATTTAACAAAGAAGAAAACTTCTAGCATACTGCCTGTATGCTATGGTGCTGAATAATTGACAATTGACAATGCAGCTTGTCTACAAGCTAAAAGTTGCTCAGCAAAATATAGAAGGAAATGTGCTGGAGTTTCTATGGTCTATAAAATTTGTAATGTAGAAATCAGCGGGAGAGACTTAACCTTCTGTGTTTTTAAACTAGTGCCAATGGGCTGATCACATATGTCTCAAGCTACAATCGGTGGAGACCACGCCTAGACAAACACTGTAGGCCCAGTGATTAGATGGAGCGACTCTCTGCAAAAAGTGGGTAGCAGGAACTGCCTTGGGGGAAGGCCAGCTCTGGCTGCCACAGATTGATGATAATGATGAATAGGATAAATAATTTAGTTTTAAAAATCATAACAAGTAAGAAATTATCAAAATAAGCAATTTAAAGAGTATTTCTAATTACAATAAAGTTATGGAATAATTTATTTCTCCTAATGATTTTTTTTCATAAATTAGTGGTAAGTGTTTATTTTTAACTAATAATAATGTTCTTATATTAATTGAAATCACTCTTAATATAGAAAATTTTCAGGACTGTTCAATTCTTTATAATTTATATTAATAACATAGGGATGTAAAAAAACTACTGATACTGGTAAACAGGGAAATACTGTCGCTTTTAAAATTGTACATGGTATAGTAACAAATTAAATAGATGCGATCAAATACGGTCCAAAATAGTAATTCAATGATCTACAAATAAATTGTTAAAACATTTTTGATATTTTTTTTATAGGAGAGGCGGCAAATTAGCATACGGCTCACCTGATGTTAAGTGACTACCGCCGCCCATGAACAATTGCAACACCAGGAGAATTGCAGGTGCGTTGCCAGCCTTTTAGAAAGGAGCCTTTTTAAATTGTAATGTTGGTACCTCCTTAGTTATCATAGAAAATTTTCAAAAGTTTTTAGATTCAATCTTCTGGTTACGTATCATTACTACATACTGTTCACGCTAAATTACCCAGGATGATTGGGTAGACTCATTTTGTGTTAAAAGTAAAAAATACATTTCATTTTTTTTTAATTAGATTTAGTACTATTAAATATACAGGGTTATTTTGCAATAACAGGCCAAATTTGCAGAGAAGATTCAGAATAAGTAATGTAGGTAAATGGTGAAGAAAAATTAGTTAAACGAATGTCAAACACTCTGTCCTTTTTATCTTTTAAATTGAAAATACGTGGTAATGCAATATTTTAACTGATTTTACTGCGCACGTATAGGTACATTCGTAAGGGTCGATATTGCAATATGTTGCAACGAATACAAAAGTAACTAAAAATGAATTATAGAAGGCAGTACTTATTTCGTTTAACAAATAAAATAGTATTTACAGAACAATAAAATTTATGAAAAAGTTTATGTTATAATAAATTTTAGAAATTTAAATAGCTCATAATAATTAAACACATCCGTAATCATTAAACAATCTAGTCAAAGATATTTAAGTAGTAGTAATAGACCGGACATCGGCAACAAAATTGTCATCAGTAACTTTTGTCCTATAGGATATTTGACGCATGCGTTTCATAAATTTAAAAAAATGTTTTTAAAGAAAATATATTGTTTGTGGTTGTACATTAAGCAAAAATTTCAGCAAAAAATGAACGTGATTTCGGTTTATTATCATAAGAATAATGTATATCTTCCAAATAATCTTTAAATTTTATTATTTCTAGTAGATTGTTCTAAAAGAAAGAAAAACTATTGTAATAAGTGCCCTCTGTTATCCAGTAACGTCACTATTTATTTAGAATATGTCAGTGATTGACGACGTGCCTAAAACGTATTTTTACCTTATATTTAGTACCGTCACCTAATGGGAAATACCTAAAATGTTTAATACATTTTCAGCGTAGTATTGCTATGTTTCGCTAGAGGGCGTAACACACGCGCGTCTTTGGATCTAGAAGACATTTGCCGACTTTTGCGTTTGCCGAAAATATTCAAAGCACGTTTTTGACATTTTGTATAGATTAATTTTAAGAAGTTTTTCATTAACCTTGGAAAAATTTGTTTAACAATTTTGCCGTTTGGTATTTTTAGCAGGTCAGATTTTTAACAAAAAATGAGTTTCGAACATATATTTTACATATGATTTCTTATAGGCTATTCCATTTGGTTAAGGGTAAGTTATTAGAGCCTATAAGTGATTACTACATTTCCACCTTATATTTTCTTCTTCTTCTTCAGTGCTATCATCTATAGCCTCCTTTTTGCGAACCATCACATTATCAGATGTTAAATTAATCTTCACATGATCACACCGGTACTAATAAATACGTAGAATCGCATTTTCTATAAAATATCTTTTGTGATATATGGATAAGAAATCAGTCTGAAAACATTTTTAGTTTAGCCTTTCGTGGCTTCTATCCATATTTTTATGTTCGGATCTCCAGGAAAATTGCAAAAATGTAAATAAAAGTATATTTTATCTTATGTAAAAAAGTACCAATTGTAGTAAATAATTCAGTATTGGTAAGCCAACACTAGGCAAGAGCAAAATCGGAAAAAAAGTATGAAAATCCATATTTTGAAATGTATTTTTTACTTTTAACACAAAATGGGTCTACCCAATCATCCTGGGTGATTTAGCGTGAACAGTGTGTCGTAATGACACGTAACCAGAAGATTGAATCTAAAAAATATCAATGATACCTAAGGAGGTACCAACATTATAATTTAAGAAGGCTCTCTCTAAAAGGTCGGCAACGCACCTGCAATTCCCCTGGTGTTGCAGTTGTTCATGTGCGGCGGTAGTCATTTAACATCAGGTGAGCCGTATGCTCGTTTGCCGCCTCTCCTATTAAAAAAAAACTAATAAAAATGTTTTGACAATTTATTCGTAGGTCATTGAATTACTATTTTGGACCGTATTTGATCGCATTTATTTAATTTGTTACTATACCATGTACAATTTTAAAAGCGACAGTATTTCCTGGTTTACCAGTATCAGTATTTTTTTACATCCCTATACTATTGTTTTTACACAACAATATTTCTTTATTTTTGATTCTAATATTCATGAAATATAAATAGTTTCGACTTATTTTATTTAAATTCCACATCTGGCTGTTTTTCCAGCACTTAATTATTGTATAAATCGGTATTTTTAAAATATATTGCACCCAGCAACGTTTGACACAAAAATTGAACAACCAATGTTACATTTAAAGGCGTGAATTGACATGTTAGTGGCTACACTGGTACCGCCCAATACTCCCTCGTTCTATTGTGTATTTATTATAGTATTCTATGCATTAGTATCAAACCTGTAACCCTGTGGCATCATTATAAAACACTTACCTACAGTGCTTTCTAACAGAATGTATACAGAATGTAATATTGTGTTTTTTTCTTTACAGGCAGTCAGTGGTCTTGTAGATCCAGCAGAAGCAAAAAGTAAGTTTGACATTAATTATAAGTATAAAATAGCAATTATATACTTTTTTCTAATATTGTATTTTTTGTAATAGATGAAAGGAATAGTGAAACAGAGTCCCAGACTAATGAGGATTCATCAGACACGCAAATAAGTGGTTTGAATATAGGAAACCTAAATCATACAACAATACATGGTTCTTCAGAAAGTATTTCGTCTAAACCATCTGGAAAACAACACACTAATGGAGCAATTGAAAAAGGAATGAGTCTTACCAAACAAAGTGCAACGCAGAAAATTGCAACATCATCTGGAATGTTGCAGAAATCATTTAGCAGTGACAGTAAAATGCTGTCAGCTGTTGGATTAGACAGTAGACCTAGCACCCCAAAAGATAAGGACTCTAGTATAGGTATTACAAATAAAGGAGATACAACACCAAACTCATTGAAGCATAAACTTACTAATAGCAGTAACAGCTCTGTTAAGAAAAATAATAACAAAAAAGCGAGACACAGATAAAAAATTAAATAAAAATATATAAAATAGGTCCAAAAGTGGAAAAAAACCAACTATGTCCGTAAGAGAATGAAATTTTAAATTTAAAAATTAAATTGATTGAAACAATAAAGATAAAATTTCAGTTATTTTTTATTTAAAAAATCTTACACTTTATCTTTGGCATGTGTTCACATTTATTTCTTCTTTCAGTCTTCCCTGGAATTCACTGATCTCAAAATTGTTTGTTTAAACCTTGATTCTGTAAAAGAAAATATCTTACATAACCTTGTGGTATATTTAAAAATTGTAATGTACACTGATAAACCATGCTGAAAATTGCGATTGAGAAGGATTTAGTAGTTGGCTTAAAACAATTATAGAATAATTGTAAATTATAATATTAAAGTACAGTCCCTCAGTTCTCATAGTCTTCAGCAAGATCTCGGAAATACATAATTTTCTTTAATATGATTGTGTGAGACTGTGTGTTATTATGAAGTTTGTGAATTGTGCTAGTGATAAGTGTTTAGGTATGCTAGCCTCAGAAATAAGAGGAGGCCTATGCCTAGCTGTGGGGCGTATATGGGCTGTAACTAATTATGCTTAGCAGGCCAGACTGATTTTACACAAAATTATATGATAAAAATTATCTTAACTTTTGAACTATTGGTTAGCCAGTATGAGACAAAAGGCTGGGTGCTAAATGGTACTAAGTCTTAGTGAAAATTCACACCACTGGTTGGAAAAATTAAAAGTTTTTGGAAATACAAAAGAATTGCGTACGGTGCGGACTAATGTGCGTTGAGTTTAATACAGTAAATAGGACTTCGACACTGATCACTGCTGGCAAAGCGTATGTGGTTCTGTATACGATCCGTTTAATAAGTGATTGTATGTCAGCCCCTTTCTTAACAATTATTGAACATATTTATCAATTATGTAATGTAATTAATTTTCACATCCTAATCTGTCACACACTGACACATTTCTGTGTCAATATTATTATATACAGACTTAGACTTTGATGAAATACAGGGTGGCGAAAGAGGTATACAACTTATTTTATTAAATTCAATATTATATAAAAAATTACAAGGTATTGTTTCAAAAACTATTTTGGCGTGGCATTTACGTGTGGAATATAAGATCTGCCAAATGTAGACTTCTAACAGCATGACAGATGTGTTCTTTTCATCGCGTTTCTCATCATATTTCACACACTCGGTGTTATTCCACTGAGTGCGTCTCGGATATTCGGTTTTAGGTGTTAAAAATTCATTGGCTTGTTAGTATAGACACGTCCTTTTAGATAGCCCTACAGAAAAAATCTGGAGCTAATTGATGGAATCAGGCGTTACTTTGCGGAAATCCATTATAATAAAGATATTAATAGTTACTTTGCAACCATCCGCTCAATTAACTAAAATGATGTGTTTTACTTAGTTTGAAGAGCACGCCCTCCCCTCAATTGCGTGCACTAATCCCTTCACCACTAATCCGAGCACCACTACTCACCAACAACTACTGTCAACACCACTGTTCTAGGAAAGACACACCATCAATGATAATACGACACGTGTTTTGCCTCTACACGAGGCATCTTCAGGTGATGTAGACTCTACGGCGGCTGTCCGTTAAGTAGGAGGTGCTCTTCAAACTATGGTTCATAAAAGATAGCTTGATCTCTGCCACAGCTGTCATTAAAAATCACGCCTATGAAGTCCTGAATTTCTTAGTAGTATAGACAGTACCTGTCAATGTCAGCATGCACTAATTAGGTCGGCATGCCCATAAAGTATGACATTGACAGGTACTGTCTGTACTACTAAGAAATTCAGGACTTCATAGGCGTGATTTTACGGACAGCTGTCGCAGAGATCAAGCTATCTTTTATGAACTATAGTTTGAAGAGCACCTCCTAATACTAATACACATAATTTTAGTTAATTGAGCGGATGGTTGCAAAGTAACTATCAATATCTTTATTAAATCTGCAGCTGTCAAATCCGGTGATCTTGGGGGCCACACTATGTCACCATTTCTTGAAATTCATTGACTTGAAAACATTGACTTGAAAACATTGTTTTGAACATTTAGATTGTGGCACAATCTAAATATTGTTGGTTATGTAGACCCGTCTTGCTGGGACTACATGTTTTTCAAGCTTAACTGATTCATTTGATGATTCAAAAAATTGTTCAGTTACTGCAGCACTCGTAGCTTCTTCAAAGAATTAGGGTTCAATCACTACTCCTGACCAACTTCCACACCAATCTGGTACTCTACGTGGATGCAGATGATGAATAGATGTTAAGAACCAACGAAGGCTGTTCTTCGCCCCAATAGCGATAATTTTGTTTATTGACAAATCCACTGAGGTTAAAATGGGCCTTATCATTCACAATGATTTTTGATGAAAATCTGGTTCGCTTTCCAATTTAGTTAGCACAAAACTTCTGAAGTTACGATGGCATTCATGGTCCCGAGACTTAAGTTCTTGTTATATGAATCTTATACGGGAAAATACGCAGGTCTTTATTCAGAAGTCTGTAGAGATCCTCTTAATTTCGAATTATTGAGAACGTCGCCTGGTAGATAATGTCGGATCCTCGGCTACACTTTCACGAACACTTACAATATTCTGCTCCGTATGAACTCTTCTGGCACTATGAGGAACTAGTTTATTTGTTAAAATGCCACGCTGCCAACCAAACGAGTTATTTCATAGCCGCGAAGGTAAGCGATTTCTACCGCAAATTAATCAAACATTTTCAAATCGTTTCGCAATAGATTTGCTCAGTTACAGCAGATTAATTTGATAAGAATGTCTTGACTATTAAAACACTTCCCTCAAGCGAGTGACGCTGCATATTGAATTTGGCGTAGCTACATAAAATAATAGTTACCGAACAACTAAAATTTGCCGCTAAAAGAAAAATGGCGTCAAAAAGAAGTGTACCTCTACGTTGGCCACCATGTACGTGTTTGTTTATACAAAAACCAAACACGTATTAAATCGTTAAAAATTAACTGAAGTATTGAATGAAGTGAGCGGAGGCGCGGTGCATGTGGATGTAAACACGGGGCTAGATAGCGGCCAAAATGATTTCATCTCAGGTTTAAGTAATAGTCTTAAAACATTTTATAAAAAAGGATTGAAGCCAAATATTGGCGCAACTTTAAGACTGTAAAAATTGGTTCCTCAATTCACAGTCTACACATAGAACGCTATTTAACAAAAGAAATATTAAAAGGTTTAGTAAAAAGTTTCTCCTAAATAAATCGTCATTGTCATTATTTATAATCATAGCCTATCAAAATCCACTTCTGAACATAGACTTTCCCCATAGATTGCTTCATAGGGACATATTTACCATAGTTTCTGCGTTTGGCTTCTAGTTTTTATTAGTTAGTAGTTAGTTGTTTTCCCCACATTCGCTCAATAAATTAAAATGATGTGTCTTACCAGATGCTAAGTCTTAGCGGTTAGCCATAGCAGAGTCTACTTTACCTATAGGATTCGTCGTATAGAGGCGAAACACATATTATCGTAGGTAGTGTGTCTTTACTGATTTCGTGGTAGTCCGATGGTGAAAAAGGGGCACACTCGAAAATACGTCATAGAACCGAGAGACTTGTGCTCGAGGCAATCTTATCAAGATTGGTTTCAATCAAATTAAGGTCATCAAATAAGTCTCTTAGCACGTCTCTGGTGGCATTTTGTAACACTAGGCTGTATGCTTTAGTAGTGCTCCATGCACGATCGGACTTTTGCTTTATATCTCGTCAGAAGCTGCCGTTAAGTACTACCCGTACTATATTTTTTATACCAATATATATATTTAATTTAAAATTCATTTTATTATATACCTACATATATGTTGATTGTGTGGTATACTGACGTCTGACAAAAACAGTATGGACCCTAGAGGACTGTGCTACAATATACTATTTGCATCTTCTATCCAGGTAACTTGAGTAAATGAGTGTCCTGCAGGCGCAAGTAGGTTGGTCTCGCCTACATACGCGAACACAAGAAATTTATTTATTTATTAATTGGACACAAGCAGTACACACATTACATTTTATTGTTAGTAGACTTAATGTAGAGGCTGATGTAAAATTAATACATAATTATAAATAAAATTAAGACAGAGCAAATTTACAATACTTCGCTTTTAAAAATAGGCACAACTCTGGCCTCCTCCCAAGCGCTTGAAAAAGATCCCTCTTTCAAGGAAGCATTATATATGATACTTAAAACGCTTGCTAGGGCATATTGCACATTTCCTAGCAAATAAAGGCGGTATATTGTCGGGACCAGGGCCTTTGTCGCTGTTAAGTTTCTTTAGCTTTGATTCTACTTCTTCTACACTTAAAGTATATCAGGACAAGGCAAGTTCACCTAGTTTCCTTGAGGCTGCTTTGGCTTTGGACTCAATTACTCACAGTTGAGGTCTGAAGAAATATTAACTCTTAACAACTAAAAGCGGTTGGTATTTTATCTTGACATGTGGAGCCAGGGTGAAAGAAACACGCTTGTGTTTTAGAAGCGTTGAATCTCCCAAGATTGACATTGCTCCGTTCGCACTGTGTAGTAAACATGTGGAGCCAGGGTGAAAGAAACACGCATGTGTTTTGGAAGCGTTGAATCTCCCAAGATTGACATCGCTCCGTTCGCACTGTGTAGTAAACATGTGGAGCCAGGGTGAAAGAAACACGCATGTATTTTGGAAGCGTTGAATCTCCCAAGATTGACATCGCTCCGTTCGCACTGTGTAGTAAATGAGATTTGAACAATACTCTCCTCTACCGATAGCTTTTCTTTCGGACTTTAGGCTCGGGCAAGTCAAGCATTCGGCTACTGTTTCTCTACAACTGTGCTGTAGTCTACATACAAATAGATACCGGATATAAGCAGATCATTAATACGAAGTAAGAAGAGAATGGACCTCTGGACACTCCGGTGATAGTCGTCATAGAGTCAAACAAGCTGCGCTCGATGACGACGGTAGACAGGTAGGTAGACAGGAGGTAGGTAGATAATATTTCTCAACTTGGTTTTTAAAGGAGTCTATTGTTTGAGCACGTTTTACAGTTCCTGGTAAGGAATTCCAAAGCTTGAATCCAAGAACTGAAAAAGATTTACTGTGAAAAGTAGGGAAGTGCAAAGGACATAAAAGGGAAAGGTTTTCTATAAACCAAAGGAAAAGTTTACAAGAGGAGCTGAGAATACCAATTTGACATACCATGAATATATAGATTTTGGAGTCGCTCAAGTTTATTAAGTTGCTATTCATATTTGAACTTCGTAAATATGACCATGTCTCAGAAAAGCTCAAGTGGCTTCTAATCCGTCTTCGTCGGAATACTCATATCCTTTCTGTTCTCTACTGCGTCTAATTTAAGATAACCTATTTCCTGTATCTGGCCTGGCCTAAATTCGGATTGGAGTGAATTAAGGATGTCAAATGTTGTGCAAAATCAATTTAATTGTTCTTGAACAAGGCGTTCGAAGACTTTGGGCAGAAAAGTAAGAATTGAAATAGTTATAGGCGATATTTATTGACATTCTAAAATCATGGCCATAAATTGTGGCTACCTAGGTTTTGTCCTAATTACGGCCACAATTATTGCCATATCAAGGTAGTGTGGCCATAGTATTAGATAGAGACTACGAATTTATTATTATTATCTAATTTAGTTTGTAGTTTTTTGTGTTATTTTTTTTTGTAAAAATAACATTTCTTTTGGTGAGAGTGATCATAATCGAAGTTTCTCATCCTTCTCTTCAGCATCCGATGTATTGAGTAGTAACGACAGTTTTGTAAGCGTACCATCTTTAAAAGAAACTCTTACTCCCATTTTATACAGTTTAAAAAAAATCACATTGTGCATATAAATGTACAGAGTATACCGGCTCATTACCCCGATATGCCGGCCAGCTTTGATGGTAATAACATTCATGCAATTTTAGTTTCGAAGTCATGGTTAAAGCCATGTCTGCAATCTATTTCCTATTCCCTTCCGGGATTCCACTTAATACGCAACGACCGGACTGTTCGGGGCGGTGGTGGTGTTGCTGTTTACCTTCGTTCTTATATTCCATTTTCTATTGTTCGTCTATCACCTCAATCTCAAAATTAGAACGAAGCGGAATACTTATTTATTGAAGTTCACCTGTCGCACACCAAATTACTTCTTGGTGTTTTTTACAGCCCTACTTCTTCAGTTGACTATTTTACAACTTTGGATAGCCTCCTTGAAGAGCTTACTCCATCTTACATACACACTGTGCTAATGGGTGACTTTAATACCTGTCTACTTAAAGAAAATTATTATTATCTGGTAATAGGCGAGCAGCTTATAGCTGATATGCCTAATCTGTGTTGGTGTTTTATATTAGTCCAAGTTCACACTAAGAATACACTAAATTGGATTGTCTTTACACCATTTGTCCAATTTGTTTTTAAAACTAATCACAGAGGGAGCATCTACCACGTCTTGAGGCAACTTGTTCCATATGTTTATGATTCTGTTGTTTAGTGTGTGATGTCCCACATTAGTGTATGAGCGGGTGTGGGCCAATCTCATATAGTTAGGATGTCTAGGTCGGTGGATACTGCTGATGTTAAAAATATGTGGCAGCTCTTTGCAATTATATTTATGTGTCAATATTTTGTAGATTTCAATAAGGTCTCCTCTGGTACGGCGAGATTTCAGCGTTGTTAGATTCAATATTTTTAATCTCTCTTCATATGGCTTTTTGCGAAGGCATAATGGAATTTTTGTGGCTTTTCTCTGTACACTCTCCAGCAAATCCACATCCTTAAGAAAATAGGGGTTCCAAATTTGAAATCCATACTCTATCAGCGGTCGGACGTATGTTTTATAAACCTTAAGCAATGTATCTGGAGTCAGATGCTGAAACGATCGTCTGATTGCATACAAAATGCTGTTTGCCTTTTTGACAATACTATGGATATGGTCAGCCCACTTGAGGTCGGATGATATTAAGACACCTAAATCCTTGTGTGAGTTAACTGACTGTACTGTTGAATTTCCAATGTTATACATTTCTCTGGGATTGTTTCGGCCTAGATGCAGAACTGTGCACTTAGAAGGATTAAGTCTTATAACCCAATTTTTTGTCCACTCCTGTATACGCTCTAAGTCTTCTCTTAAGGTTCCCTGGTTCAATAGAGGATTTCCGAAGTATTTCACATCATCAGCAAAGAAACAGGCTTCTGAGTGTATTATAGAACTCAGATCAGCAACAAAAATGCCAAAGAGGGTAGGCGCGAGTACAGATCCTTGTGGCACTCCGCTGAAGACGTCTTTAGGTTGCGAATATACATTTCCAACTCTTACTTGAAAGGTTCTTCCACTCAGATAATTTATGATCCATTTCAGAAGATTTTCTCGGATACCCAGATGTTCCAATTGAACCAAAAGATGTCTGTGGCCCGTTCAAAGTCCAGGTAGAATATATCCAAAGGATTATATTTATCTAATTCCTCAGTCCATCTGTGGTAGCAGGAAAGAAGGTTAGTTATAGTCGAGCGCCGTTCCACAAAGCCATGATGGTTATCCGGAATAATTTTCTCATCTGCTAGGAACTTTTTTACTTTTTTACATATAATCTTCTCCATACATTTGCAAACAATACTAGTTAAGCCGATTGGCCTGTAGTTAGCTGGATCTAATTTATCACCCTTTTTAAAAACAGGTGTTACTATAGCATGTCTCCAGTCTTTTGGTACCTCACCTGAAGCATATGATTCATTCATAATATTGACCAAGACAGGTGTGATGGTTTCACGAATGATTGGAGAACTACTCCAGGGACATTATCAGGCCCAGAAGCAGAGTTTACATTTAGGGACTTGAGAACCATAAGCACATCCTGTGATGTGAAATGGATGTCATCTATGGTGTTTTTAACTCTTGGTATAGGTATGGAAATATTATTTAGGTCAGGTTTCAATGAGTATGCTTTCTCAAATTCCCAAGTTCATCACGTACCACAGGCGGCAGACCAACTTTAGAAGCCATGCAACTGCGTAGGTGAGCATAGAAGGGTTTGTTTCCACTCTCGACAATCCTCTATTGATTACGAAGCTCAAGTGACTTCCAATCCATCTTCGTCGGAATACTCATATCCTTTCTGCTCTCTACTGCGTTTTATTTAATATATCAAGTCCTCCCTACCTTAAAGAATGTTTCCAATTTCTCAGCTTCTCTCAAACTTTCCCTTCGATCCTTAGAAAACCTTTCCCTTCTATGTCCCTTGCACTCTTCTACATTTTACAGTAAATCTTTTTCAGTTCTTGGAGTGAAGCTTTGGAATTCCTTACCATCAACTACAAAACATGCTCAAACAATAGACTCCTTTAAAAACCAAGTCAAAAAATATTATCTTTCCTTCTAAATCATCCCTCCTCCTTTTATCTATTCCTGTAGTTTTGTGATCACTAGTCTGTCAATTAAGTAAAAGTTCAATAAAGGGTATTGTATTGAATGAGAACCTGACTGCTGACCTAGACGTGGAACATGCACGCATCGGGCTCGCGATTTGCTGTAATATGCTAGCTCGCAGGTTTGCCAAGTGTTTAAAGGCAGTCAAAACAACTAATTCACATATAATTGTTGATAACTTTTTTACAAATAATTGAATGAAGTTGTTATTTTTTTCATAATCTACACAAAAAAGCAAACATTAAAAAAACAACATTGAAAAATGTTTGTTTATTAATTTTTTATTTTGGTGTTTTATTGAGTGTAAGATCGAGCAAAGCTAGCTTGGGACTTAAGGCATTTCGACTTGGACAGGTTAGGTTAGAAGAAGAAGTAGTTATTTTTTATAAACCACTCAGAAGTGGGAGCCTCGGTAGGCGGGGCTCCGACGACCGTGCTTCCCCTAACTGCGCTACGGGAGAGAGTTGGGGGAGGGAAGCACCACGCCATTCAACATAGCGCAGTCGAGGGAAGTCCGGTCGAAGGAGCTCCTACTTCTGAGTGGTTTATAAAAAAAATAACAACGAAGGAGATGGTTTATATTTTTTTTTTTTATAGGATAGGGTGACAAACGAGCACACAGTCCACCTGATGGTAAGTGGTTGCTGCGCCCATAGACATCTACATCTATCTTCCATTACAAATCAAAATGCAGATGCGTTGTCACCCGTGAGGACTGAGATGGAATGCCCATTTCCAGTAAAAAGGGTCTCCGGTTCTCTACACTCACCTAGAAATACAGCAGCATTACTACTATTTCAGTGGTTTCTATGAGAGCGTGGTCCTTCCCCGGTCGAGCCGACCCATTCGTGCTACAACTTACTACTAATATTTGCATGGCTCTACCACGTAAGAACGTATTTACATTATTTACATTTCCTTCTAACCTATTTACATTTCCTTCCTTTCCTTCCGTTACATTTCCTTCTAACCTATCCTGTCTGATTCGGAACGCTCTAAGTCCTGAGCTCGCTTCATTTGATCTTACACTAAACAAAACACCAAAATATTAACTTTTATAATTATTTCGATTTTCTAGAGCATTTATGATAACATTTAAACAAACAAAAATTTTTCAATGTTTTTTTAATATGTTCATTTTTTTTGTGTAGATTAACAAAATAAAGTATACTTTTTTTTGTTTAATGCTTTGCAAAAAAGTTATGAATGATTATATTCGAAGAATGGCGTTTATGATCACATTTAGTCATAAAACTATATGAAATCTTCAGGTGAGATATTTTCCATATTTTTTTTCATAAACCTGCTGCGAAATTTCAAAAAAAAAATAATCGAAATCCGATGATTTTTTGATTTTCTAGAGCCAAAAAACGAGGGGACAGCAATAGTATAAAATTACCCCAGCAGGGATTGAACCCAGGTTGCTCACATACTGGGTAAATTTACAGTAACTGCTTAGTCCTGAGCTCCCATGGCTCTTATGGATTGTACATACATGCACACAGTCATAAATAATTTTTGATTCAATTCACATAAATAAATACAAAATTACAAGGTAGTAGTTAAGAAACTTACCTCTTAGTACTTTAGGTAAATCTCTGATTGGTCCACAATATCTTACAGACAAATAAAAAATTAAAGGCAAAAATGATATTAATCCAGCACTGCATAAAAACACAACTTCCGGTGATATACGTAGCTTGCAACAATTGAGTGTCTTGCTCCAAATACTTCTTGTTGAATTCATCTGTGAGGAAATTAACAAAGTAAATGTGACGAGATCTTAACTTGAATTTATCAAATACCTCCAAAAACTTACTGAATCCACCACATCCATACAAATACTATCTAGTCCAATAGCATCTGTACTTAAACTTGAATAAAATGTATCTAACTCTAGGTAATATTGCATACATTTTTCACATACTGTAGCATTGTTTTGAGGATCAAAGTTATTTATTAAACATTTCATTGTTTCATTAAAAAGTGTATTAAAATGTTTTGTATCATTACTTAATGTTGGTACATTACCATTCCAGTCAAAACAGCCTAAAAGGAATAAAAACTTAAAATAATGTTAATAAATATAAAAATATGTACATAAAAGAGTAACTGCGCCTCTTACTATTGCAATTTCCTTTATTCCAAATTTCTATAATACCGTTATGGTATTGCAATACCACTTCCAACCTGTCATGAGAAATTAAAACTGAACTGCATGTTGTACCATTAATACTTGTTTTATGTAACTCTTCATATTTATTACGGAAGTCTAAATATTTATCAATACACTTTTCACACAATCTGACAGGTCTAGCATTTACTATTGAACACATCGTCAAATTTGATGCACTATATGAAAAGGATTCCAAAATTTCGAAACATTCCTTTGGGTATAGAAATTCCAAATTACTCTCACTATTTGTCCTAAAAAGTGAATATCATTAAAAATTTGGTTAACATAAAGCAAAATACATAATCCTATTATAAATTCACTCACGACGTAGAAAGTTCTTTAAGCCTATGTTCCACATTCAGAATATCAGCCTTTAAATTAAAAGAATTTAGTGATAACACAACATATATTATTATCGATTGTGAACTCATATTAAAACTAAATTAATTTTTATTAGTCAATAAAGATTACAGCGCAGGTTAGGTGGTTCAGGTAGTAATAATAAATTAACTATAATTAATTATATAGTTCATTACTTCAATAAGCACAAAAAGCAACCCGACCCTTAATATAATATGTAGCTTGCTACATATTTATTTATCTATGGTATCAACTTTATTTTTTATATGTGAATGTGACCCATCCAGTTATTGACAGCTGACACTGATGACATTTTTTTTATTAACTGGCTTTACGGCTCTGGGTTCTAGCCCTTCTGAGCCTCCACTGATGACAAGTTGTCATTGACAATACAGCTAATCAATCACCTGATCAATCTAAAAGCAAAACTAATTACGTTGTAGGATAATTAGATAAACCGAATTTTCCGGAAAATCTAGGAATATCGCGAAAACACGGATAATTAGACAATGGCTATGACATTTCTTATTTCTCAATCTTACCAAAAAAGATTAGGGGTTTTGCAACTTTGAATATACTTGGGTAAGGCCGTCGTTTTTGCCACTTTTTGATGAAAAAATATTCTCATATTTTCATTGCTTATAGAAAACAACATGGTGGGTAAATTGTAATGGAGGTATTTTAATTAGGTTATACATCTCTTAAACTCTTACAACATATTCTTAATATAAGTTGTACATTAAAAAAAAAAATACAACGAGTTAAATTCGTCCAGACTCCCAAATTTAACGAAAAACATGCTGTCTTTTTAGCATTTAAACTATAAAACTTATATTTTTGTAATGAACGTTTAATTAATTTGTGACTATCTGAAATTTCTTAATAGTAAGCTACTACATCGTGCTTCAAAATGGCTGGCGGCCGGGACGTTCAGAGACCACTCGATGCGGTTCTTGGCTAGGATGTGAGCGAACTCCGAATTATAATATTTACTGGTTAAAAGCTCATGTAGTTCTGATAAAATACGTTTCGCGCCGACGTAGTTTGTACCGTTATCCGAATACAATTTACTTACAGGGCCACGGCGGAAAAAAATCTTTTAAATGCACCCATGAAGCCCGCTGTGCTTAGATCACCAACGAGTTCTATATGCACAGCCCGAGTAGTCAGACATACGAAAATGCAAACGTAAGCTTTTGTGGATCTTATACCACGCCCGCGAGTGAGCGTGACCTTAAACGGACCAGCAAAGTCAGACCCAGTGTGCATAAAGGGCTTTACGGATTGTGTTACTCGACAAGACCTAAGGTCCGCCATTTCCGGAAATGACGGCTTAGGACGTACTCGAAAGCAAGCCATACATCTGTGCACCCGATTGCGGATTAAATTACGTGCTGAAAGAATCCAATAATTCTGACGCAAGATCATCAGGAAGTCGGGGCCAGCGTGAGAATTCAATTTACGGTGGTAATATACTAATAAATTCATGATATGGTCCTTACGCGGTAAAAGTATAGGGTACCGTTGGCCGAAACTCAACTGCGAGTTAGACAAGCGCCCACCTACCCTGACGATTCCATCTTGTAAAAATGGCTTAAGACGTTGAAAAGCACGACTACAAGTTCTATTTGATTGTAATCTTCTAATTTCATCGGAAAAATGCGCACGTTGAAGTTCACGCAATACTAGCAACTCGAAATAGCTGTAATGCTACGATATATAAACGTCGCGGTAGAAGCTTCGCGAATCGACAAATGTAAATCACGATATGCAATAATTTCGACCAAGAGGACAAACGGTTCGCCAAAGCAATAATTGGAGAAACCTCGCTCGAAACGTTAGCAACCAGAGCGTGCCTATTCTCTTCCGGTGGTTGGGACACTGACGAAGGGTCGAAATCGGTTATTGGCTACTGCGATGGTTCCAAGTGAACCCAAGAAGGTCCGTGGAAACAAAGCGGATGGTCCATTATTTGCATCGGGGTGAGTCCACGAGATAGACACTCGGCAGGGTTTTCCGTACCGGACACGTGATAAAAGTTCCGCGAACCTAACTTGTCTTGGATCTTGGCTACTCGGTTCGCGACAAACGTATCCCAACGGTGGTGTGAAGAATGAACCTAACATAAAGCGACGGTTGAGTCAGAAAAGGCAAATATTCTTTCTATGTGAACTCTGTCACTACATGCACTGGTAACTGCGGTGATAAGCTTGGCAAGAACAAATATCGCGCAAAGCTCTAAGCGCGCGAGAGAGATAATCTTACGGGGGGAGACTTGACTTAGAGCTAATGAGGCTGATCGAATTTCTACCATTATTCTGGACGTGAAAATTTACAACGCCCCCGTAAGCCTTCTCGCTAGCGTCTGCAAACCCAACAACAGTGATGACGCTATTTCTATCGGCGTTTATATGACGTGGTATTTTAATTTCGCTTAGTAAAGAAAGTTCCTCTCTAAAACGTAGCCACGAACGAACAATGCTATCAGGCGGCGGGTTATCCCAATCGCATTCCCATAACCAAAGTTGTTTAATCAAAAGCTTAGCGTATAGCACCACCGGGGCTGCGAAACCCATGACATCCCATAATCTAGCAACGCACGACAGCATTGTGCGCTTTGTGCACGTTTCTGCGGTCGGGTTTACCTTAAGGCTAAACACGTCGGACTCCGGTGACCAACACAAATCGAGTACCTTGTGCGTATCAGAATCGTCGAATTCCTTTATCGCCGAAAGGTGGTGTGATAGTGGGATTGTATTTAAAACCGTACGCGAATTACTAGTCCACTTGACGAGATCGAATTGACCCGATTTCATGAGCTTTATAACCTCGGCGGTGGTTAGGATGGCCTCCTCCACGCTATCGACCGAGTACACAAAATCATCCATATATAACCCACTCTCAATTGCCCTCTTAGCTTTAAGATAAGAGGGACCTCTAGAGGCGAGCTATCTCACCGTGCGTAGAGTATGAAATGGGCTCGACTTTAAACCAAAGCAAACGCGATTAAATTCAAACACCATTAGAGGTTCCTTTGACCCAAGTCAAAGCGATATAAAATGCGTTGAAATCGACGGTCGCATTCACGGGCCCCTATGCAAAGAAACATTTGGCGAATATCGGCGGATAGTGCTATACTGAACAAACGAAAATTTGCTATTATATTGAATAAATTGCCCTGTAAATTTTGTCCACAATAGAGGATATCGTTAAGAGGAAGGTGAGTGCTAGTTCTAGCACTAAAATCGAGCACTACATGTAACTTGGACGTAAGTTTGTCTTCCCCAATGACACCGTGATGTGGTATGAAATACGACGGCGCGTCTTCGTAGTTATCTAATTTTGGAGCCACAAGTGATATGTAACCCTCCCTTATATATTCATTAATGACGCCGTCATAAGCTTCTTTTAATATGGGCGAAGCGCGCATCTTGCGCTCCAAACAATAGAAACCTTTTTCCGCCATTTGACGCGAGAGAGACAAAATATCTCCTTTAAAGGGTAGCGCTACACTATATCGACCGTCGCGATCACGAACGGTCGTGCGGACGTAAATTTCCTCACATAATCTATCATCTGGGATAACTATAGGTGGAACGTTCACCTCCTCCATCTCCCAAAATTTGCGAACTAACGACTCGAGCGGTTCGACAGCCATACAACAATAACAGGTTGCCGAAATATTATCCATGATAGGGGCGGAACCAACGATAACGTAGCCCAAGGCGGTCTCCAGTGCGTAAGGCGCAGTATGCGAGGGGTTGCCCCTGACCTTATTGTGTAACAAAAGATGAGGGAAAACCGATGCTCCAATTAGCATCTCTATGTCTCCGGGGACGGCGTACGTATCGTGTGCCAAGGTCAAATTCTCAAAATCAATCATTGTCGAGGTATCGACCAAAACGGTTGGTAGACGCTCGGTGACTTTATCTACTACTAATGCATTTATATTAAAGTTAATACTACGATCTAGCCGAGAATAAAATTTCAAATGGAGCCCTGGGTAATTTTATTAGTACCTCCGATACGGGACATGAAGGTATCTTATTTATTAGCAATCCTAAACGCTGGAAACATTGTCGCGTTATAAAGCTACTCTGTGATCCACTGTCTAGTAACGTGCGAACACTTTGTTCGCTTCCACGCGAATCCCTAAATACGATACGGGCTGTACCCAGCAACACGATGGAAGGAGACTGCGTTCCCGTATTCGACAGTGAGCACAGGGCGACGTCACCCGGTCGAACGTTAGAATCGTCGACTTTAGAATGTGTAGTTTCCTTGTCCGATTTACTCGACGCGAATATGTTGCCACTCTCGAAATGTAATAACGTGTGATGTCTGCTAGCGCACTTGCTACACACGGAACTGGAATTTCATTTAGCAACTAAATGTCTATCGCTTAGGCAATTTAAACATAAGTGTTTCGTCTTTACTATTCTATAACGTTCGCTGGGTGAATGTTTACGGAAGGTCGCACAATTATACAAATTACCGTGTTGTTTATTCTTACATAGAACGCAGTCGCTATGAGGCGATGTAGGCGCAGCGGTTACGTACGTCAGAGACCCAGCGGTCCTAGTTGATGAGATCTTTCTGCGATCGACACATTTCTTAACTTCTTGTTTGACATTCGAGGAGCGCTGTATAGGTAAGGATGTTAAGGAGTCGAATGACGGTAACTCAGAGCTACGATGCTCCATTTCAAACGCACGCACGGTGTCCAAGTCTAGTTTCTTTAAAGCGATATCGAGAAACACCACGTCCATAAGGTCATTAAATTTCAGATTCTTGAGCGCAGCCACCGATGCTACAAATTTATCTAAAAACTGCTCTAAGCCAGTGATGTTCGCGGATGATATAGCTTTAAGATCGTTATATTTGTTTTTAAGCGTTTCGAATATTAACGAATAATTGTTTGCTGTTGGTGTGAAACCCGAACAAATGGACTGTGCCCTACCACTCAATTTACTAATTAAATAATACAATCTTTCAGCGTCCGATAACGATTGATTATTATGTACGGTGTTTTGAAAGCTATTAATAAACAACAGCCAAGTTTTAATATCTC